ACAACATGCCTACAGGTACTTTCCCAAGAGAAGCAGGTTTCAGCTGTGGGGAGACTTTAACCTAAGGAAAAATTTCCTTACAACTTGAGCTGTCTAAAAATGAAATAGGCTGCCTAAGGGAGTAGTGATGTCCCTGGAGGACATCAGAAACCACTTAAAGGGGATGTGATGGCCAGGTTTCGTGCTCTGAGGAGCTGAAGACTAGATGACCTCTGAGGGATTCCAATTTTAAGGTCCTATGATGAGAGAGAAAGAGAGAGAGAGAGAAAAAGGAAGAGAGAGAGAGAGAGAGAGAGAGAGAGAGAGAGAGAGAGAGAGAGAGAGAGAGAGAAAGAAAGAAAGAAAGAAAGAAAGAAAGAAAGAAAGAAGATAAAAGAAAGAAAGGAAAGAAAGAAAGAAAGGAAAGAGAAAGTTGCCAGGGAAGCTGAAAAGTTAAGTGACTTGTCCACAGTCACACACCTAGCATTTGCTAGAAGCAGGAGAGGACTTAGACCCAGGTCCTTCTGACTCAAAGCCTGGCTATTTATTATGCCATTCCTACTCTGATGTGTTCAATGCTACTCTTAAGGTGCAAAACAAAAAACAAAAAAAAAAAACTTGTTGAAGCCAGCTGCTACGGGAGAATGATTCTCTGAATAATACTGATCAGCATAAGCTCAGTTTCAATAAGAGAACCTGGAAAGGTAATACAAAAAAAGGTATTTGTCTTTTATGTGAGTGCAATTTTGCACATTCCAAAGATATAAGTGGAGAATCAGGATGATTCACAACTTAAATATTATTACTGATTTCAAAATACTTGGGAGTTTTTATTTTGTGGAGTACAGAACAGTTTTAGAACAAAAATGAAATTAGTTTCTGATAGTTTCACTGCCCAAGGAGAATGAAATGAAAGAGAAAGTGCTGAGAAGGAAAACATTTTTAAACCTGCATATTTTTAATATGTTCTAAGGAATTAATAGAAGAAAAGTAATTAAAACATAGAAAAATTATCCTCTCAGTTCCCTTTAATGCAAGACGGATCTAAAACTTTTTCTTGAGACTTCTTCAAATTTAATATGTTTCCGCATCTCCTTTTTTGAAGTTTTGTTCAGAGACTTCCCTTCACATAAGTCTGTGCTTTCAAGAAAGTCACATTTAAAGTCCACTAAATCCTAATTAATTTGAAATTTGGACCTCAGCAATTCAGAACTCATGATAATTTAGACCTGGGCTCTACTGATGTTTACCCAACTAGAAGTACATCTAAATATTTTTCAAAAGGTTGGCTAAGTGTGTAAATAAAATAGAGGGGAGGAGGTGGAATAAGGAGAAAGAGTATGAAAGAAATTTAAGAACATAATCTGCTTTCAAATATTTTAACTATTTCATCAGCAATAATTCACAAAACAGTTCTATTTATAGGCTAGTCTTAGCTATCTTTAAAGTAAATCCAATAAGACCTCTACTTGGAACACTTTCTTAGCCATTATTAGCTCCTACTATTGAAGATAACTGAAAGTAATATAATTTCATTTCTTTCTAAACATGCTACAACTCACACTTTTCACTAATTCAAATTGGCCTTCCTTCCCACTGTTTCCAAACCAAGGAAGCTTCACTGTAATTTAAAAAATGAAAAGACCAACCAATAAAAGGTATAGTCACTGATGAATTCCTGCTTGAAAAGCCTATGTATGCCAAGTCACTGTTTCTCAGAATACTATGTTCAGACTCAATGTCTAATGTGATCCAAGCACATTAGGAATCACTTTTCAAAAAAAATTTTTTTTAATCCTGTTTAAGACACATATGTAAGTAATATTTTTATTTTAATAAATTTATTTATTTTTAGTTTTCAACATTCACTTCCATAAGATTTTGAGTTCCAAATTTTCTCCCCATCTCTCCCCTCCTTCCCACCCCAAGAAGGTATGTAAATTGATACAGGCTCAACATATACATTCATATTAAACCTATTTTCACATTAGCCACGTTGTAAAGAAGAATTAGAACCAATGGGAGAAACCACGAAAAAGAGTAATATTTTCTTATGAAGGAATAATAATCAGGTTTACTGACTCCAATCGACATATCCAGGAGAAAAAGGAGGCTACAATCCATTTTTGGAGACCTGGAAGCATTAAGCCAGAAGTAAACATAAGCACTATTGATACATAATCCCTGACTATAGTAGACATCTGTCCCCGTTAAAGAATCATTGCATAATCCAGCACTACTGACAGTCTCTTTCACAAAGACCAAGCCCTGGACTTTCTAGCAGAATGATCTCGAACTAGGACAAACTAGTAGAGGAGTACAGGAAGAAAGAGATTTGAATGGAAGTTAAATAGTCACTCTAATAATACAGGAAGAAACTTGCTGTAGAAAAAAAAAATGCATTGAATTACTTTAGCAATGAAGGATGAGCATAGATATGGTTTATAGGAAACAGAGTTGAAACAACAAAAGATGACATGTCAGGACTTAAGGCAAGTAGGTACACTGGGACAGTAAAGAAATTCTCTCCCACCCATCTTTCCCTCCAAACTAAAATTGTTAGGCTCACCTTGAGATTCATTAAAGGCAATATCGGAGGGATGCTTAGTCAGGAGCAAATGGCCAATGAACATAAATATGACTACATCATGAGAACAGCTGAGAGACACAGGTTGGTTCACAAATACCTTGGCAAAAATGAGGAAGCCAGCTTTTCACTGTACTTAAAATAGTTTTTCCACTTCCCGAGCGCCTTATTTTGTCACAAAAATTATTTTTTTAGTGAAAGGTTGGCAAAACATATCCTAATATACATACACAGTCTGTTTTTTACAATTTTAAATTCAATGACAAGTCCCTTCTCTAATGCTCACCCTGAGTGTCCAGCAGAGGGAGTCTCAAGGAGGTACTTAATAAAGAGAAAATTGTTTCATTTTAACACTCCAGACAATTCTAGCATTGACTGTGGCCCCTTTTCCATAAATACAGGTTAACAATAAATACTGTACATGGCATCTTCATAGATTGTCCACATATCCTCGTGGGATATTCAATTCTGTTTTACAGCATGATCAGAAATTTTGTTTTGTTTTTCAAAGGACTAAATGGACCTTGTGTTCTTCAGAATCAAAGAGGAAAGCCCCTGGAATAACATCTCTCTGTGTGTTGCCTTCTAAACAGCCCCTTTGTTTCTAAGAGAGTCTGAAAAAAAATATTTACAGTCCATAGGTTATTTACAGCCTTGTTATCCAGAGCCTGACTGGCAACTTTATTCCATCCAGAAACCTAGTTCATTTAGAGTCCTAGAACTAATAACAGATTTTCTTTTCAGATAAGTTTTTTTTTTAATCAGCCTCTCAGAGCAGAGATAAAAGTATTAATGCTTTCCCTGTTACCCTCACGATGACTATCCCCTGGATTTACATAAAGGATTAAAATTTCTTTTCTTGTCTTTCCTCTGGCTTGCATACCCCTTTAACCCCCTCATTTGCCACTATATCTTAAGAAAAAGAAGTACAGCAGGATGGATTTTTGCCAAATCTATATTGCTGTTGTTCCACAAGAATGTAATAAGAAAAAAAATATTAACACTATAAAATGGTTTAGAACCCAGCACAATTTTATTTAAATTAATTCTACACATATCTTAAAACACAGACACAAGTGGGGAAAAACTAAGTTGATTCTCCTCTGATTTCCGGCTGGAAGGTGAAAGAACTGACTGAAGATAAAGGGGGAAAAAAGAGAAAGAGAAGGAAAACAGAGATATATTTCTTCGTTTTACAATTTCCCCCATACCCTTTCTTTCCTCCTCAAAACAGTTAATCCGTGAATGACCCAGCGTTGGAGGAGGTGCACAACGCAGTTTTACCTAGACCTGATTAAGATATAGGTCTACACCAACCACCCCGCTCGAAAATGCTAACTACATTTTCTCTTACACACGCTAATGCAGGGAGATTCTGGTCTATTTCATTGTTCTGCCTGGAACTGAAACAGGACTTTTCCCACCTATCTCCCCCTTTCACCATCCAGCTCTGTAAGCACCCCCCACCTCCCCCCACCTAAAATGTGGAACTCAAGCAAGCAGGGAAAAAAGGGAGGGGGGGCATGGGACAGAAAGAGGTGACGAAGCCTAGCTGGGAACCGGAGGTGGGGGGACGGGTTAAGAGAAGAATAAACCAGTGAAAAGATCATTCTCAAGGAAATTTAGGGGGATGAGGGCCAAACCATATCACCTTTATTTATCAGAAATAATAAATAAAAACACAGCCATAAATCTCCTTTCCTTTGAAGCAGCACACCCCCCACCACCACCTTAGAAATAAAATCAGGTTGAATTTCAGGTCTTGGTCCATATCTAGGTTGGGATGGGGAGGGAGAAGGGGGGGGTGCGTTGGGGTTAGGGGTTGAAGAGCTATTAAAGGGACCGGAGGAGGTGAAGGGGCGTGTGTGTTGGGGGGAGCGGGGGCATGTAAAGCAGTTGAATGAGATGTGGAGGGGGCCGTGCGGGCAGATGGGGGGAGCGGGGGCAGATAAGGGGGCGCTAGGACGGATGAGGGGCGCGTGAGCAGATCAGGGGGCGCTCGGACAGATTGGGGCGCGAGCATATAAGGGGGCGCTAGGACAGATGGGGACGCGTAAGCAGATAAGGGGGGCGCTCGAACAGATGAGGAGCGTGAGCAGATCGGGGGGCAATCGGACAGACAGGGGTGCGTGAGCATGTCAGGGGGGCGCTGGGACAGATGGGGACCGTGAGCGGATCAGGGGGCGCTCGGACAGATGGGGAGCGTGACCAGATCAGGGGGGCTCTCGGACAGATAGAGGGCGCAGACTTATGGGGGGCTCGCGGACACGGAAGGGGGGAGCACAGACAGGACACGGTGGGGGAGGGGGCGTGATCCCAGGACGAGGATGGGGGAGCCGCGGAAGGAGAGAAGCGAGTCGGGGAACCGGTGGCCGGGGGGGGGGTGGAGAATGGTGAGGGGGTGGCAGAGAGGCCGGAGTGGGCGCCCGCTTACCTTCGTACATGGGGGCCATCGGGGCCAGGATGTCCGTTATTCATGGCAACGGAAAGGAGAAAGCGAAGCGAGACGTCGGCCCCCCCAAACTCAGTCGGAATCTGCCATCTTGAGCCTGGGTCTCGTCCGCTCGGGCTCTCCGCGCCGCCGCCGCCGCCGCCGCCGGGGCCGCCCGCTCCCGCATCACCGCCTCGCTTCTCCGGGGAGGGGGGGAGGGGCGGGGGGCAGGCCGGCCGCCCCCTTGATCCTGGCCATGCAAAGCGGCGCGGGCCGGTGGGGGGGGCGGAGGTGGAGGGGGGCCGGGCCGGACGGGGTGGGGGGGCGCCTAGTCCTCACTCTCTCTCCCTCTTTGAAAAGGAGAATAAATAATCAATAAATAAAGGCCCGGGGCGGGCGGCCGGGCGGGCGGCGGCGACGGGCAGGCCCACGGGAGGCTGGCGGCCGCGGGGGCCCCCCCGAGGTGGGTTCGCGTTGGGGGGCTGGGGGAAAGAGGGAGGGGGGAGGGAAGGGGGGAGGGTGCGCGACCAATCTCCCGTGCTCTCAGCTCAACATGTCTGTGTGTGTCGGGGGGTTCGGCAAAAGTTGCATTGGAGGAGAGAGAGGAGAGGAGAGAGGAGGAGGAGGAGAACAGAGCGAGGGGGACCCGGACCGAGAGAGAGCGGCCGAGGGGAGAAAAAAAAAAGCGAAAGGGGAGTTTGCATGTAATCGAGCACCGATGACACGGATGAGAGGGAAGGGAAGGAGGAGAACAGTGGGAAACGGAAAGGAGAGGGGGGAGGGGCAGGGGGCGGAGGACGGGGGAGGGACAGGGGCAGCAGGGGGGAGAGAAGGGAAGGCCCAGGAAAAGTACCGATGGCACAGTCCCTACCGTCCTCTACGATTTTTTTTAAATTGTAAAGAATTGTGTTTGAGTCAGGAGCAAATCGCCCTAAAGCTCCTAACAAGGGGTGCCCTTCGTTCCCGGGAAGGGAGGTTGGTGGTGGGGTAAGGAGGGAAGAGGAAAAGGGGGACGGGGCTGGACTACGTTGTCCTGTATGTAGTGAGCACTTCATAAAAGCTTGTTGAATGAATGAAGTAAATAGGAAAGGACCGAGGGGAGTAAGAAAAGAAAACGGGGAGAGAGGGGGGAAAGGGGAACGAGGTTGGAATACGTTGTCCCGACGTAGTAAATACTTAATGAAGATTTGTTGAATGAATGAGACGAATAGGAAAGATCTGAGGGGCGTAAAAAATAAAAGGGGTGGGAGGTGGAGGCGGGAGTGGGGTGGGGTCTTTGAATGAATGAAAGCAAGAGAAAAGGACCTAGGAGAGGGGGAAAAAAAGGGTGTGGGGAAGAAGGGAAAGAGGGATGAGATTGAAAAGCTGTACATTGTTTTGTATGTGATAGACACTTAATGGTTAATTGAATGAATGAAAGGAATAGGAAAGGACTGAGGGGAATAAAAAAAAAAAGAGGGGAGGGGAAAGAGGGACAATATTGAGATTCGATGTCCTGTACTCTGCAGGTACTTAATTAAGGTTAGTTGAATGAATGAAATTAATAGGAAAAGTCCAACTGGAGTTTAAAAAAAAAACTACTGTGTGTGGATTGCAAAGAAATAACCTCATTTTCTTCAAACTTGTAAAATGAACTGTATCTAAGAACCGTTCCAGGTCTTGATCCTGTGATCGTTTAAAAAACAAAACACCTTTGCATACTGAGGTTTCACCTCAGCCAATTCTCCTGGCTCCCAGATTTTTTCAGCCCAAGCTTTTCCTCCCTTATCTTCCCTTTACCCACCCTAACCTCCAGCCAAATTACACTCCTAGTTCCCAGAGTACTTTCACCTTCTACCTGGTATTGTGTGTTCCAGCCTTTTGCTTAATTACCTTTTACTTAAAATGTCCTCTTCTCCCCAGCCCTGGAATAATTCCCACCTTTCTCCTTCAATAACTGGCTCCAATGTTGTCCTTCAGTAAGTAGCTCAAATTGCCATTTTCTCCAGGAAGGCTTCATCATACAAGCATGAAGTGATTTTTCCCATTTAGAAACTGGGAAGGCACTTTGTATATAGTATAGTAGAAAGACCACTGGGTTCTGGTCCTGGTCTGCTCCTTATTAAACTATGTGACCATGTGCAAATTACCTCTCCCCAGTTTGATCATCTGTCATATGAGTGAAAGGGTCTGACTAGATCTAGTTCAGGGCTGGGAAACCTTCAGCCTCGAGGCCAAATGTGGCCTTCTAGGTCTTTAAGTGCAGCCCTTTGACTAAATCCAAACTTCACAGAGCAAATCCCCTTAATAAAAGGATTGGTCCTGTAAAACTTAGACTCAGTCAAAAGGCCAAACCCAAGAACCTAGAAGGCCACAGGTTCCACACCCCTGGTCTAGTTCATTTATACTCTCTAGGATCATGGTATTTAGATCTGGAAGGGACACTTGAGTCTTCTAGTCCAACCCCTTCATGTTACAGAAGAGGAAATTGAGAGCAGAATAGATCGATTGATTTGTTTAAGGTCATGCAATCATATAAAGTGATTCAATAAATCATATTGTAACATACTTTTGACTTTTACCTAGTGTTTATTTATTTTGTACACTTCTTCCCTTTTCTCAAGTGGGTTCCCTCACGCTGGAGCTGTTCCAAAAGAGTCTTGATAATCATCTGTTGGGGAAATTAAAAGAGGATTCTTGTTCAAGGACAGGTTAGACTAGATCACTTCTGAAGCCCCTTCCACTTGACAGATTCCATGATTCTAACCTTGTGAAGAAACTTTCTAACAATTAGAGCTGTCCACAAGTGGAATGGTCCCAGAAGAAGCTATTATATTCCCCATCACTGGAGGCCCTTTAACAGAGATAGCTGAGTGGTTCAATAGACAGACTGCTAGACTTGGAATCAGGAAGACCTGAGTTCAAATGCTGGATGACCCTAGGCAAATCATCTAGGCATTCAAAGCCCTTTATAACCTGGACATCCACCCCTTATTCACCTCCATATATCCTGAGATGCAGTGACACTGGGCACCAGACAGTCCATGTCTCGACTCAGCTTTTTCTCTGGCTGTCTCCCATGGGGAATTAATTCTCCCCCTCATCTCCACCTCCTGGCTTTTTAGTCCTGCCTTTTAAGTCCCAGTTAAAATCCTACTGACTTCAGGAATCCTTTCCTGATCTCTCTTAATGCTTGTGCCTTCCCTCTGTAAATTATCTCCAAGTTATTCCCTATATCTCATTTGTACATAGTTGTTTGCATGTTGTCTTCCTCATTAAACTGTGAGCTCTTTGAAAGCAGATATTTTTTGTCTTTCTTGGTGTTCCCAGCCCTTAGCACAGTGACTAGCACATTTTGTGGTTGTTCAGTAATTTTAGTAGAGTCCAAGTCTTTGTGACTCCATTTAGAGTTTTCTTGGCAAAGATAATATAGTGGTTTGCCATTTCCTTCTCCAGATCATTTTACATGGGAGGAAACTGAGGCAAATGGAGTTAAGTGACTTGCCCAGGGTGACACAGCTAGTAAGAGTCTGTGGCCACATTTGAATTCAGGTCTTCTTAACTCCAGGTCCCAGGCTGTATCCACCTCACCACCTAGCACATAGCAGATGTGAAGAAGTGCTTCTTGACTTAATCCCTGACAGCTTGTTTCCTCATATGTAAAATGGAAATGATAATGGCACCTACTTCACAAGGTTTGTTGTAAGGATCAAATGAGATAGTAAATGTAAAGCACTCTGCAAATCTTAAAGTAATATATAAATGTTAGCTGTTACAATTTGTTATAAATAAAAGTTCTGTTCTTGAGGCATGTATGTGGCTTGGTGAATAGAGTCCTTGGTGAATGGAGTCACTTAATCTCTCTGTGCCTCAGTTTCCTCATCTGTTAAAATGGGAGTAATAATAGCACCTATCTTACAGTTTTGTTGGAATCAAATGAGATAACATGTATAAGCACTTTGCAAACTTTAAATCGCTATATTTATATAACTATAAATGCTAGCTATGATTGACTGGACAACTGTTTATTGGGGATGTTGTAAGGAAGACTCATTCATGTATAGGTTGAACTAGATGATTTCTGAGTTCTCTTTCAGCTCAGATCTTGTGCTTCCATTCCCACCTCAGCTGATATAGTCTCAGGATGTAGTGTTTTAATGTGTCAATAAGCTATTAATATTCTGTTATTCCTTTACAAAGTATGAACACTCTCTGAGTCAGAAGGGTGCAACATTATTGGACAAACAACGATGGGCCATTCCCACCTCTCCCCCGCTCCTCATCCTGGGGCAATCTGTAAAAGACACAGTCCGGTTTTTTTGAGTCAGTTGACAGAAGTTCAAGACTTGGAGATGGCTGAGGCAGGAGCCAATAGTTGCCATGGTGGAGCAACTCGTACCTTAAGGCACAACGAAAGGAACAGAGACACACATTCCAGACAAACATGCTTACAGAGAGACTCTCATTTAAGGAAGGAAGTAGTTTCATGGAATGGGACCTCTGGCAGTTAAAAAGAGCCCTCTCTGGACTCAAGAGGCATCTAGCCTTGGCAATCCAGAGTCAACCTTTCAATCCAGAAAGGAACAGATCTTGGGAGCCCAGCTGAGCAGCCCCCTCAGCAGAGACATGGTACCCAGAGAGAGCATTGTGAAGACTCCACAGGAGAGAAGGCACATAAGGCCCTGCAGTACCAGGAGGTGTATTTTGCCTTAGTCACACATGGTCCTAATATGCTACCATTGTACTCTTAAGTTGGTGTCCATTCTCCCGGATACTTTGTGTATTTGTGGGAAAATAAAACTCAGGTTGGGGAGGGAGAATGTTTTATAGTTATTTTGACTATACTATTTTAGCACATGTCTTTACTAAGAGCTGAATGTGTCTACTGGCTATCCCTTAAAGTGAAGCACCTCAATGAAGGCTCATAAGTTTTATAAAGTAGCCACCTACAGACTACCCTAAAACCCAAGGGTAATAGCTTTCTTTTGGGAATGCAAACAGGGAATATGACTGCCAAGTTGGGTGACTATCCTAAAAGGGGTGCTTTGCAAAGATGGATGGATGGATGGATGGATAAAAGAATGATTGAATGAATGAATCCATTACAAAAATTCTATTCTAGGGCATGGAGATAACTGAGTTCTTGAAAACTCTTTGAGCAGAACACATATTTCAAGGATCTATCAAACTGGAAAGGCTTCAAGTACAGGACTGGCAACCAACTACATCTGCTGTCTGAGAATAAGACTGGCCAAGTATGAGGAAGCTCCTTGCTGAAAAATTGGACACAAAGCAATTCTTTTTTTGCTGTTGCTTTTAACTATAATGACCCATAAGAAAGATTAAAAATACAAAAATGCCCTCAATCCTGTGCAGCCTCCTTCCAATTCTAGAGTGCTAGTGGCAGATTAACAGAAAGGGGACAGAGGTTGATAAGAATTACACAGTTGTTAATCTGTCCAAAAACATTAATTTATCTATTAT